CAAACGAAATTGTTGGCTAAATCATGTATACTATCTTCTACGAGGAGACCTCTTCATTTGAATGATATATAACATGTTGCCAAAACTTCTTGTTTTTGGGATTTTTTTAAGTTTGAAAAAACAGCACAACTTGTATGATAACCAATACTTCTCAGTAAGGATTGCGATCGGTATGAATTCCTTTCGTGATACCTAGTATGAGGAGCGTAGAGCTGTTTCAATAGTTGATATCATCATTGATCTCTACGATTGCAGAGACCAAGAATTTTCTGAATATTTAGGATTATCTGCCTTTGCAATTCTGCCTCACGCTACTATATCAAAAGCCCATTCTGCATCACATGAATGAAAAAAGGACTAACATGGACTTTAAGACTTCCGTGTGCACTGTAGAAGGGTGAATCTGCGACGTCTAATACAGAGTATACTAAAAAATGTTCCCACTTTTCGACTATCAATTCTTATATTCCCGACTTTTCTGCATCTTCAGCTTCATTTCAAATGGCTATCTTGAACTTAGTTCTTCTTCCAAGCGAGTTATAATGTTAGTGGTTAGAGTAGAAACGGGATACGTTGCTAGCCTTAGTACTGCTGTTACGCACTTATCGTAATCTTGATAAAGATCTTGCGGTAGTAAATGCATATCATATATAAATTGGCCTAGTAAATTCTGGAGGAGAACTTTCAGCGTTTCTGAAACTATCTTCATGGTAATTCTAATCATGCTTCACGATAGCGCTGCAGGCCACCTACAAATTACCGTAATCCTACCTGACAGCATCTAAAGATTATATTATATTATTGGATATATTATAGAAATCCTAAGCTCAAGTTAGCCTATCAAATTGAAACATGAAGGTTTAGAAAAAATTGAGGAATAAGAGGGCTACCCATGTTCACAATGGGTACATCGGGAAATCCCGGGGTAGTGAGCAGCATAGTACTGCATTATTGGATTTAACTCAGCTTCCTAGTTTTCATTCACTTACGTAAGAGATTACTTGCGAATTCATGGCAAAAACTAACATAAATTGTTCTTGCAGTCCCTTCTCTCAGCGAAGGACAGCCAGCGAATCAACTTCGGAAATGCCAGACCTAGAGTCATCCGCAGGAAATTTAGAGGCACGCCAGGAGCGGACGGTATGTATACCTTTCTTTTAACTGGAAAACCCTTAGTGCATAATCCTGAGATCTTTTGCATTTTGGAGATGCTGTGTGCTTACGGACCTGCGGAGAAGTGGTGGATGCACGTAAGATCTCAGGGTGTTAGGAGTTAATTAGAGAGAAAGTGAGAAACAAAATACTTTCTTCTTTTCAGATAATTGAAAGTGAGCTTTGGTTGCTTACATGGCAAGCGCAAGAGGATGGCAACTTACCATTCCTTTGCAGGGACGATATAGTGGTTAGTTCGTTCAGTACTCGTTCAAAATTGTGATAATTATAGATTTTTGTTCAAGAATGCTGTACTTTCCTATCTCGCTTTCGCTCCTTCTCCTGATTATCGAATTGGACGAGTTCTACGAAGGATGGCTAGCTACAGACCGTCAATAGATGCTTTACTATCAATGCA